ACGAGATTATACCTCGTAAAAAGCTTTATATGTGCTATCTTATATTAATTGATACACTTCTATTCTGTTTTCAACTTTGTCTTGAATTTTAATTAAAGAGATCAGTGTTTGTATATAAAATCTCCTCAAAACACAATACTCACTTAGTGTCAAAGCGCAAAATATGAATTTTGATATTCAATATCTTAGTCAAATATTCAGATATTTGCTCACTGTCTACCAATCACTATTTTCGAATATCCAATTAGTTGAATAGCAAATTTTCAGATATAAGATTTATGACTATAAACAAAAATTTCTAATTCATCGTAGGTATGGCACCAAGGAACAGCTTTTGTTTCGATTATTTTCTCTCCATATGTCGATTTTTTTAATTAGACTGGTCATGTGTTTTGAAGAAATGATGTAAATCAAAGAGATTGGAGTTTCATATAAGGAAACATGAATGTACTGAACTAATCTGTTGTGCTCGTCAATTTTCACAACAACAACAATCCATCCTTCTCGCCAACGCTGTCAACTCCAACTATTACATCGGCCACCCAATCAGTGTGACCTCTAAATACTCTTCTGAGGAAAATTTAACCTTGTTTATAATCGATCAATGCTTACATCTTCTTTGGGTCGTCGAACAAAATCGAAACAATCCTCTATAAGTTCATCTTGAAAACGTCGAATACAATTGAGATCTTGTGGCCGTTTGAATAGTCGTCGAATTTCATCATTGGCAGCTTCTTCATAAGCAGTTAAGCCATATCGATTTAATTTCGATCGATCACATCCATTTTCTAGCAATAGTTCAACTATTTCTTTGTGACCATAGTAGCAAGCAGCATGTAATGGTGTACTATGGATATTTGGTTCCAAAGGATTCAGATCATTTTTTGTTTGTTTGAGAGTCATCAGATACTTTTTCGCAAGATCTACATCACCATTTCGACATGCAAGATAAAATTCACTGACGTCTGATGGTTTTTTCGCGGTCGACATATGATACATCCGATAATACTTCTAAAAATTAAATCAAATTAGATTTGAAAAGTTGATCAGGAATAAACGAGAAAAAATATTACTACGTAATTGTAAAAAAAGAAATTATTTTATGACGCGTGTTGAATCATCCATATTTCATCATATAAATTAATTCAGTGACATTATCTTAGAGATATGAATATGATTCATCAACTGAATTTTCAGCAACTAGACCAAATTGTTTTCCGGAATTAGCAAAACTTGACTTTTTTATTTTAAAGAAAATTCACAGGGCTTACTTTGAGAAAAAAAAGACATGCGTTTCTTATATCCTTGCAAAGCTTTTGTCATATATTACTTTTTCACTAGTGCAGTCACAGATGAATAAATTTGTTTTATGACTCTTCTCTTTCTCTTTCTACCATTGACGTATTCTTCTCCTTTTCACCGACGAACATTAAAATTTTGCACCTATTCATCCTTTGCTACCAATAATAGAACAAAATGAATCATAATTTTTCCCATTCATCTCAATACATTGATTCATGCTATACTTCTTATCGTTCTGCATATAATTGAATGTTCGTAACTCTTAGTTGTAGAGGCGATGGATCACGACTTTTTGAAATTTATACATAGACATTTTCTTTTTGAACAAACATCTAAGAACTGTCATGCTACGCAATAAGAGGTTTTGTTATATTTGTAAAATCAACACTTTCAATAGAAGAACGGTCAAATTAAGAATTTCAGAACAAAATCGATCCTTCAATGAAGAAAGTAAACTTGATATTGTCAAAGATACCTGATTCTAGACTAAAATGAGATATATTCGTCATGAGTAGCATCTACAAATATATTTTGTTGTTTATTCAATCGTCAAATATAGCAATATCTCTAAATGTAGATCTAGGAATGTGAACATAACTATAACACAAATGTAAGTCTCCCTTGTGCTAAATACAGTTAAAGATAACAGTCATTAGCAAAAATGAAGATCCAGAAAAAATGAATTAGCGAAACGAGATACCTTTTAACATGCCAAGTGTTATCTATAAAAAAAGCACCTATTGTCGTATAAGAATTTTCTTCAAACAATGCACGTGGCCTAATTCCTTTAGAATGTATTTATCTAAAGAACTTTTCTTTATTTACCTATGTTGCACGTATCACTGAGTCAATAAATGACACATTTTAGAAAGTGTGAAGAGTGAAAAATCACTATTTTTACTTCATATCTGCTCTAAATGAACGACATATTAACAAGAAAATTTCATCACACAACACAATTGATTTAACGGAAACAACATGCCGATACTAATCAGGATATGATAGGTGACCTGCAGCTTGCTTATTTGACTAACAGCTTCTTTGAGAGGAACTACAGAAGACAAAAATAAACAAAATGTTGAAGTATTTTTGCCAACACATTTTTTTTCAGTAGTTCTTAAGAAACTTGATTTTTTTGTTGTCTAAGAATTCGATTTTTGTGAGTAACTATAGGACATGTTCTTAATTCTTCTCAAAATAGGTGGTCCTGGTAT